TAAGAGTTGTGTTAAACACTCTGCTAATTCCATCCTCTGAGCAATCTGTGGGTCGGCTTACATAGATTTTTTGTCTTAATTATGGGTCATCCTTTATGGCTTTTTTGCATATATTGTAACTTTTTATTTTATATTGGCTCTTGTGGACGATGCTTTGAAGAAATTCTGAATTCTGTTATCTTCCTCTAAAGAGTCTTTGAGTTTCATTTAGGCAGGCAGTTAAATTGCTCACCTTGATCCTGTGGAAGCTTCACTTTAGGCTTTAAAGGCATGTCTACTTTAGTTTTGCCCTTAGTCCTAGGGTATACCCTTACCCCAAAGGCATAAACCTTTGGGATCTTGGGAAACAGAACCAATGCAAAGCATGAGGTATTTGTGAAATTCCCTGGTGAAATTTGAAGGCCAAATTCTACTGAAATCTCCACTTAGCATTTTAGCTTCCAGCGAATGCTTTCCTTTGGGTTCCTTGGAATCTTGTACCATGTAAGAGTCACCCAAGGATTTGAGAGGAATTTCTGTGCAGATTTTGAGGCTTATCCCTATTTGGCTTTCTCTGTTCCTGGACTTTCCCTCTCAATTTAGAACCACTGTGGAAGCCCCTCACACTCTGACCTGTGTATCATCAGCCCACTAAAGCTACTGCTTTCTGCTTTAGATTTATTCCTCTGTGCAAGTTTAGAATTGTTATTGGCAAGAGCATTGGTCTGATACAAGCTACTCTGCAATTATTGGAAGAGGTATTAAAAACATTTTTTAGATTGTAACACCAAACATTTAATGTAGTAAGACACAATTCATGTGTTTTGGTCTTTAAAATCTTTTTGCTTTTAAAAATGGCATATATACTCATATTTCTTTGAGGCCCTGCTAGTCAGCCCTCAAGACTTTACCTGGAAGCCAGGCATGGTAGGCACACCTGTAGTCTCAGCTACTACGGAGGCTGAGGCAGGAGGATCACTTGAGCCTAGGAGTTCTAAGCAGTAATGCACTATGCTGAATGCATGTCTGCTCTAAGTTCAGCATCATTATGGTGACCTCCCAGAGCAATGAACCACCAGGTGGCCTAGGGAGGAAGGAACCGGCCCAAGTCAAAAATGAAGCAGGTCAAAACTCCTCTGCTGATCAGTAGTGGGATCATGTCTGGGAATCGCTACAACACTCTAGCCTGGGCAACACAGCAAGACCCTATCTAGAAAAGAAATGAAAAAAGAAAAGAAAAGGAAAAAGGGACCTCTCTTTAAGCGACAATCTTGGGCTAAATAATCTTGATTTAAGTGCCTTTCCCAGCCCTGGAATTCTACAGTCAACGGAAATCAATAAAAGCATCTTCTCATCCACTCTATCTTTTCAGGCTGGACACATCCCTGTCACTACAGCCTTATTACCTGGGCAGAGAGACACAGGTGGACAGAGCAGTCAATATAGAATCCCTGGGACTATATTGGTTTACATACAGACACACCAGTTCTGTGAGTCCCACAGTGACATACATATGTACACAGGGGTACGTACACAAAGACGTGCACTGATGCACACTATGAGTCAACTCATACAAACACACACACACACACACACAGTGATGTACATAGGAACGTATACAGGCATACATGCCACTGTACCAAACTGGGTCTGTTTGCCTGAGCTTAACAGAAAACCATACACCAAAGCACCAAGTTTTTGCAGTGAGATGGGTTTATTGCCAGGCAGCTGAATAAAGAAACAGGAGTTGGGCTCAAATCTGTCTCCCTGAGCTGGGAGTTGGGGAAGATTTTATAGTAAGAGAGCAATGAGGCCTCATCTGACTCGATCCTGCCGTGAGGTGACTCCAGGGCTCAATGTAATTGGATCCTAGATGTTACCATGTGGTGTCTGCTTCTTAATTCAGTCCCTGTTCTTCAGTCTGAGCACTTAGGTTCCATCTGTGGTTGCACTCTTGATTTATCTGGGCATGCTCAGGTTCCATGACATTCAACCTGGGTGTCGATGGAAAATGAAAAATAATTCACAACTTTCCAGTGAGACTGGCCTTTATCAAAAAGTCCCAAAACAATAAATGTTGGCGTGGATGCGGAGAGATAGGAACACTCATACACTGCTGGTGAGACTGCAAACTAGTGCAACCTCTGTGGAAAGCAATATGGAGATACCTTAAAGAGATACAAGTAGAAGTACCATTGATCCAGCAATCCCATTACTGGGCATCTACCCAAAAGAACAAAAGACACTCTATGAAAAAGACACCTGCACCCGAATGTTTATAGCAGCACAATTCACAATTGCAAAGATGTGGAAACAACCCAAGTGTCCATCAATACATGAGTGGATTAATAAAATGTGGTATATGTATGGTGATATAGCACCTCTTGTATTCTCCTGGATAGAGCTGGAACACATTCTACTAAGTGAAGTATCCCAAGAATGGAAAAACAAGCACCATATGTACTCACCATCAAATTGGTATTAACTGATCAACACATAAGTGCACATATAAGAATAACATCTATTGGATGTCGGGTAGTGGGGAGAGGGGATGGGGGAGGAGGGGACGGGTATATGCATACACAAAGAGTGCAATGCGCACCATCCGAGGGACAGACGCACTTGAAATTCGGACTTGGGCAGGGCGGCAAGGACAACATATGTAACCTAAACAACTGTACCCCCATAATATCCTGAAATAAAAAAAAATAAAAATAATTCACAACTTTGTTACAAAAAGTTGAACCAGATTAGTCTGGTAAGGTTACATACACATATCACAACTGGACCTGTGAGATCCACAGTCCCACAAACTTAGAGAGTTGCATACCCACTCACACGCAAACTAGAATTTTGAGAGGACAGACACACACACAGGTCTACAGATTCATCCATGCAATACCCTTTACATATTTACCTGTATATGTATGTCATACAAAACATACTCAGGCAGTGAGACATAGATGATACTATGAACCATCCAAAAACAATCACATAAAGATGAACATACAGAGGGGCACATGCATAAATGCACACCTAGTCATTCATTGAGATCTGTGTGACCACAGTGAGACACACACATACATGTGAGCACATATAAAGTCTCAGACCAGACTTGTAAGTCAAGAGCTATATGCCAACACATAGAAAATCCTACCCCACCCCAGCCCAACTCTCACTAGGAATCTGGTAATAAGCCTTGGTTCTGGAGTTAGTCAGCCTCCTCCTGGCTGTGTGACTTGGGACAAGTTACCCTGCCTACCTGTACCACAGATTCCTCACCTCTAAAATGGGGGTAATAATAGTTAGCAAACCTCATTGGGCTGCTGTGAATTCTGCCAGAAAATACATGTCCAGCTCTTAGAAGCATGCCTGGCATGTGTTCAGTGCTCTACACCTACTTGCTGTTGCTGTTGTTGGCATTACCACTGCGTTAATGTTACAGGACTGTGCGAAGGCTGGGCCGCCACCCAGACTCTCCTTCCCCAGCGCCTGAGGGTGGACTGCAGTGAGGGGTACCTGGCCTCTCTGGGAGCAAGGCTAGGGCTCTCCCAAATCTGGAGGCCCCTCCCGTGGGCCTCAGGAGTTTGGCTCCAGAAGGAACAGCGTGGGCAGGGCCCCCGGGGAAGCCCCTAGAGGGCAAGCCCACCGCCGCCAGTATAGTAGGGCCTGAGCCTTTCCTGCACACAGGTGTGCAGCGGAGGGTACCTGACTGCACCTGGAGACGTGGACGAGCGGACACACAATCCCTGGTTCCTGGGCATCTCTCTCCCCGTACGCCAGCAATCAGACACACAAGCAGCGACCCCACACAGGGCCCACATCGAGATACACAGCGCCTTCCGCAGCAAGGAGCGTAGTGGCCGGAACTACGTTTCCCGAAGGCTGTGCTACACGCTCTTCCGGGTCGGGTTGCCAGGGCAGCCCCGGGACCTGGAGCCGTCTGGGAAATGGAGTTTTACGCATGCGCGGCGCAAAAGCTGCCGGGAGATGTAGTACGGTTCCGTTCTGCGCACGCGCACTTTCCTGTGGCGGCCTCCGAGTTGCTCTTTGTGGCGCTAGCTGTCCTTTTGTGGGAGGCCGGTCCGCTCACTCGCGGGTCCATCCGACCATCGGTCGTTTTCTCCGTCTGCTCGGGCCCTATCTGCCAGCCGAGCTCCCTTCCCGCTGGCTCTGGGCGGCGGGACCTGAGGCCTGGCCTTGGTTCCCGAGCGCGGGCTCTCCCGGAGGAGTGTGTGACTGACCGGGTGTGCTGGGCATGTGTGTGATGGGGACGGGGGCGAGCCCGGTGTGGGGTGCGGGTGTGTCAGCCGACGGGTGTGACGGGGGTGAGCCCAGTGTGGGGGGTGGGGTGTCCGCGGAGCCTGCCTGAGCCCGGCCGCCGCCGGGGCGCGGGGAGGCGGCCCCGTGCGTGTGGTCGTGCAGTTTGAGCGCGCGGCGACCCCGCGAGGTTCGCCTGCAGGCCGCTGTCCGAACCCCAGGAGCAAGACTTGCTTCCCTGAGTCTGACCTGGGGACCAGGAGGCTACGGAGCTGCCCACTCTTCCGGGGGACGCTGGCGAGGGGGCCATGGAGACCTCGACCCCGAAGCCAGAGGAGACAGGTACAGCTGCGCTCTTTTTGTCAGTGAGTCTGTGGATTTGCACTTGAGGATACTGACACTCAGAGAGGTCAGGCTGGTGTCCTTACCCACCCCCAGCAGATTAGGGCTCCTGCGTCTTCACTGAGCAACCACTTGTTCCCACTCAAACATGCTTGGTGGGAGGAAGGGAATGGCAGTGTTCTTCCTCATTAGTTGAAGTGTCTGAAACCCAGGCAGAATCAAGCCCCGATGCTGCATCAGTGTGTGCTGGCTGTTGGGGCTCGTTCCCACCACCTGGCTGGATAGTTCCCGCCTCTGATTCCGACCTTTGCCCGAGGGGGTGGGCTTCAGCTCAGCCTTGAGCCTGGTGGCTGTGGGCAGAGCAGCCCCCTTGACTCATTTCTCCTTCCCCAGCTCTTTCCTGTCAGGATCCTGCTCTTTCTCTCAAAGAGAATCCAGGGGATATATCGGGTTGGGGTCTTCTGGAAGCCAGGTGTGAGGTGAGTGGCTGTCTTTTCTCCCTTCGTTATGAAGAGGGTTGGCACCTTCCTTTCCTGGCCCTGGATCTGCAGTCATCCTCAGACCTTCACCTGGGGACTCGCCCTGCGGTCCAGGCAGCAGGAACAGCTCCAGTTGAAGAGTCTGGATATTACCCCAGCTTTTCCCTGGAGATGAACCTGCTTGAATGTCCCTTCCAGCCGGATTCAGTGAGTCAGTGGCCAGAAGCTGTATGCCCAGCACTGCGCTGGGAGCTCTGAGAAGCGTTTTTAGTGGAGCCTGAGCAAGTAGGTGACATCTCACATGAGGTCCTTTCGCTTATCTCCACATGCTGGTGGGGCGTTGATGCAGACCCGGGAGATGTTTGCAGCGGTTGGTCCTTGTTTGGGGGAGTTTACTGGGATGGAATCAGGTAGAGGCATGTGGAACAGCTGAGGAAGGACCGCATTGCAGCACTGGGGTGAGACGATGACAGTAGGGGACGTGTCCCTGTGTGCTCTCTGCTGTACCAGGTCCCTGAAGTGGGGCCTCCATGTACAGACCTGGAGGTTTAGAGAATCTGGGAGCTCGGCATGGAATTGGCACGGGGGCCACTTCTACAGCTGAGTGGAACCCAGATGCCGCCTTTTACAGACTTTGGACTTTGCTCCTTATTTTGTTTTTCCTCCTAAACTACCCCACACCGTGGTGGTATTTAGAAGGGTGCAGTTGACAAGGAGAGTGCAGTGTAGAGAAAGGTCTGGAGGGTTGAGGGTCCTTTGATTTTTTTTTTTTTTTTAGGATTTGTGATTTTGTCAATCTCTCACTCAAAAGAGGTGAGGCTGGCCGACAGACAGAAAAAGCTCTAAAACATGTATCATGAGATGTGCCTGGCTTCCACAGCGTGTTGGAATGCTCCGTGGTTCTAGGAAACACTCGAGACATGGCAGTCAAATGGAATCCATGATCCTTGATTGGAGCAGAGATCCAAAAAAAGACTGATAAAAAGCAGTTTGGGACAATTGAGAAAATTCGGAAATGGGTTGTATGTTAGATAATATTGTATCAATAGTAAATTACTTTGGTGCGAAGACAGTACTGTGATTATGTGAGAGAATACCCATGTGAGATACAAGCTGAAGAACGTAGGGAAGATGTCAGCTCCATCTCACCTTCAAACGGTTCAGCCAAAACTGTGTGTGCATGTGCGTGTGTGCAGCTGCCTCAAGGTGGTAGTGCCCTTCTCGTGCATATGTTATTCCTGAAATACCAGCGTGTTAGATGTTTGCGTAACCTGTCTCCTCTCCTGAGCACTCCTCACATTTGGCACTCTCTCCCAACAGTCTCCTCCACACTCATGGTCTCGGTTTTCTGGTCTCCTGGGACATCTCACAGGGTCTGTTTTGACTTCTTTGCTGGTTTCATTACCACATCAGCATTTCAGACCCACTCACACGACCTGGGCATTTTGTTCCCTTTCCTGCAGAATGAAGACACATTGGACATGGGCTTCTCCCAGCTGGTTGGAGAGACCCCCAGAGGGCCTATGCTGGGCTCAGACCCTACCCTACTCTTGCTGGTTGATGCCCCCACACTGACGCCATGTAGCCCCCACCCCTGCCCCACAGCCAGCACCGCATTCCGATGCCTGCAGAGCTTTATTTCAGCCCATTTTCTCCTTCCCTCAGCCAGTGCAGCCACCATCCTCCTCCATGCCTATGTGCCTCAGTTAGAGGCGTGTTCTCAGCATCTGTCCTCACCATCACCTTCTCATCTCCCTGAAATCCCGTACTTTTTGGAGTCAGGTTTATTGAGGTGTAACTTATATACAGCACAGTTCTCCGATTTTAAGTTTATGATTTGATGAATTTTGGCAAATGTACACAGTTGTGTCACCAGCACCATAATGGTGATATGGAACATTTCCATCACTCAAAAATTTTCTCATGCCATTTGCATTTGGTCCTCTCCCCTCACCCCTTGGCAACCACTATAGTTTCGCCTTTGAAAGAATTCAGTGTGGAATTATATGCTATGTAGTCTTTTGTCTCTGACTTACATCACTTAGCTCATACTTTCGAGTTCATCCATGCAGCTGTGTGACTCAGTAGTGTGTTCCTTTATATTGCTGAGTAATACTCCATTTGTATTAGTCTGCTGTGGCTGCTGTGACAAAGCATCACAAACTGGGAGGCTTAAACACCAGAAATTTATTTTCTCTCAGTTCTAAAGGCTAGAAGTCTGAAATCAAGGCGTCAGCAGGGTTGATTTCTTCTGAGGCCTCTCTCCTTGGCTTGAAAGAGGCCACCTTCTCTCTGCGTCTTCACGTGGTCTTACCTCCATCCACGTCTCTGTCCAAATTTCCTCTCCTTATGAGAACACCAGTTATATTGGATTAGGGCCCACTGCAATGAATTTATTTTAACTTAATTACCTCTCCAAATACATTGACATTTTGAGGTACTGGGTGTTGGGACTTCAACATGGGAACTGGGGGGAGGGCACACAATTCAGCCCATAACACCATGGGCTGGATATGACACAATTTGTTCATCTATTCACCAGCTGATGGACATTTAGGTTGTTAACAGGTTTTGGCTGTTACCAGTAAACCTGCTATAGATGTTTACAAGTATTGCCATGTGTTTTCATTTCTTTTGAATAAATAGCTAGGTGTGAAATAGCTAAGTCATATACTAAATATATGTTTTAATTGTCAATTTTATTTATCTTTTCAAAGAACCATTTTTCGAGGCTGGGCACGGTGGCTGACACCTGTAATCCTAGCACTCTGGGAGGCTGAAGTGGGAGGATCACTTGAGGCCAGGAATTCAAGACCAGCCTGAGCAAGAATGAGTCCCTGTTTCTACAAAAAATAGAAAAATTAGCCAGGCATGGTGGCCACACCTGTATTCCCCGCTACTCAGCAGGCTGAAGCAGGAGGATCGCTTGAGCCCAGGAGTTTGAAGTTGCAGTGGGCTATGATGTCGCCACTGCACTCCAGCCTGGTCAACAGAGCAAGACCTTATCTTAAAAAAAAAAAAAAAAAAAAAAAAAAAAAAAAAAGAACCGTTTTTTGGTTTCATTGGTTTTGTGTATCGCTTTTCTGTTTTCTATTTCGTAGATTTCAGATCCTTATTATCTTCTTCCTTTGGTTTCTTAAGATTGAAAATTAGATATTGATTTGACACCTTTTTTCTTTTCTTGTATTAGCATTCAACGCTGTAAATTTATTTATTTTAGGTTTTTTTTTAGAGACAAAGTCTTGCTCTCTGTCACCTAGGGTAGAGGACAGTGGCGCATACATACTTCCCTGCAACCTCAAATTCCTGGGCTCAAGTGATCCTCTTGCCTCAACATCCAAGTAGCTGGAATGCTGTAAATTTTCTCTAAGCACTGCCTTATCTCCACCCCACAACTTTTGTTATGTTCTATTTTCTTTTTTATTCAGTTTGAAATAGTTTCTAATTTCTCTCATGATTTTTTTCCTTAGCCATGTGTTATTTTGGACTGTGTTATTTAATTTCCAAATATTTAGGGCATTTTCCAGATAGCTTCCTATTATTGATTTCTAATTTAATTCTGTGGTAGTCAAAGAATGAACTTTGAATAATTTAAATTCTTTCTAATTTACTAAGACTTATTTTATTTCACAGAGTGTGGCTTATTTTGGTAAATGTTTCGTGTGCACTTGAAAAGAATGTGTAATTTTGCTTTTGTTAGCTAGAATGTTCTGTAAATATCAGTTAAGTCAAGTTGAATGATAGTGTTATTTAATTGTT